TATATATATATATATAATTAACCTGCATTTGACTTTAAAAAAAATTAAAATAAAATCAAATGACTCATACTTTGCTAACGAAAATGTGTAAAAAAAGATCCTGACGACGCGAACAATATTTCAAAATGACACAAATAATTCATAATATTTTCGGGCAGTATGTCGTCGCATCGTAAATAATTCAACAAATTACGGACAACATTTCAACATAGTAGGAATAATTGAACAATTTAAGAAATTTACAAATTTAAAAATGTTAAAAATTACACAAGATCTGTATGGGACGTTGTTTCACACTTACACCAGACAGCCGGGTACAATTTCAACCTCTTTCAGAACAATCAGGTTTCCAAACCATATACAGATCAATACAATGTTTAATTTATTATGATTAATTATTTAGTTTAAGAAAATTACGAGCAGCTCTTTCACATATTCTTAATATCATACAAAAATTACGGGCAACATTTCAACATGGTGACCGATAATTTAAGAAAAATTACGAGCAGCATTTCATCATAGTCACAATTATTACAGACAACATTTCAACAAGTTGTATTTAATTTAGAAAAATTACGGGCATCATTTCGACGTGGAGTAGATAATTTTAGAAAAAAAATACGAGCAACATTTAATAATATTATAAATAATTTAAAATAAATAAATAATTTAAGTAAATAAGGGGGCATTATACATTTCCATATGCATGTATGTCAGATGGCTGCATTTTTAGTTTCTAAACTTCTAAACTTAAAAATTGTATCAAATTTGATGTTGATTGGAAAATTTTTGGGTTGAAATATCACAAAGTAATTAATTAAATACAAATATGGTGCATCACCCTTCGTATGCTTGAGGACGATTTTGGATGATATATCATTAAGTAATTAATTAAATACAAATTTGTTTCATTCCCTTCCTCTTAGAATTAATTTCGTGACGTCAACTCCAACCCCTCTTAAATTAATTATATTTAAATTAGTTCTTCAATTGATTTACCAACCAAATTAATTATTGATTGAAAAATTCAAATTAATATTTTCTTAAATTTGGTTAGGCCGATAGTTAAGTACCTAATTATGGTTAATTTTATGCACATTTACATGCATACCACCAAATTCCTATGTATTTACGCGTTTAACATCTAAAGTTTAGCAATTTCATTTATAAATCTTTCATATGACATCAAAAAATCAGCATTTTAATTCTTTAAAGTGAAGTACACACAATTTCATGCATAGGTAAGATGGATTGTCTCCAAACTTGAAATTTAGGTGTTTAGATATGTATATACCTAGGAATTGAGGGGTGTATATGTAAATCTTCCTTTACTTTTAAGCCTACATAAAAAAGAACATTTGTTTAAAGTAGTGGCTGAGTGAGAATTGTCTATAATCACAATAGGAAATACACTTATATAATCATAAATAAAGTATGATTATTCATTTGGTAAGCTCTCCAACATGTTATCGACTAATTTGTATGTCGTTACGAGTGATCGAACGTGAATCTAAGATAGTTGATGAAATGTTTCTCACCTCTTGCTAAGCTAGCGAGGAGGAGTATTAGAAAATTTATATACATAGCACCTAATTCTCATGCATTTACTTCTCACATCTAAATTTTAATTTCTACATGATAACTTATATATGAAATACTGAATTACACTATTTTCACATTTTTCATATATAAGAAAAAGTATTTATCTTATAAAATTCAAAGTTAGAAAGTTAGTAAATTTAGAAGTACTGGGTGATGCATGTAAATTTCCCTCCTATATAAAGAACTCATCCCGTCAAAATTGACCCACAACAGAACTGCACGACCGTTTGTATAAACAACTCAAAAGGACTCTAGCTTCCCCTGCTTCTCAGCAGAGCCATGGAGGAGGGAGATCGGAGTTGGGAGGACATGGAGATGGACTGTCTCTTCATCATCTTCTCCAAACTTGGCCTCGACGATCTCTCCACCTCCATCCCTTTCGTTTGCCATTCCTGGTCCGCCGCCGCCCGCCACCCCTTTTCCTGGAGAATCCTCAACTTCCGGTCCATCGATTTCATGCCATGGAGCTCCTTCGCCAGTAGATTCAAAGCCCTGTTTCACGTTTCAAAGTTCTCCTTTTCTGGTTTCATTAAGCTCGCCATCCGCCGCAGCGAAGGCTTCGCCGGCGAGCTTTGGCTTCCCCCGCTCGCCTCTGTTGAGGATTTGATTCTAGCGTCAGAAGGGTACGTATTCGTTTAATCACAGCAAAATTGTCTGTTATCTCTTAGATTGATGATTAAGTAGAGATTTTAATCACTTTTAAATAAATTTTAAGAACTTGTGCTCGTTATGATTAAAATTCAATCACTATATTTTTATGTGTGCGCGTGTTTTATTACTAATTCTTACATGCATACCCTGTAATTTTTATGTATTTATATATGTAATATCTAAATTATTTATTTTTATACTTATAACACCTAAATTTTTTATATCACATTAAAGTTGCCATCATTATTGATTTTTTAATCTTATTATTTAACAACCCTTTAATACTTAAATCGGTCATTTGCAGTTGCCCGAAATTGAGAAAACTAGCTCTGCCCGGACTGACTCTCAAAGAAGAAACTCAAATCCCCATTCTCTTGTCGAAATGGAAAGAGCTTCGGCTGCTGGAGTTGGAATCAAAGCCTTCAAATTTCTCTCAACTGGTCGTTAAGATTAGCCAAAACTGCATCCATTTCATTGAACTGAAGATGCCGAATTCTGCCATCAACAAAGACGACGTTTTGGCGATGCATAAATATCTTCCAAAACTGAGATCTTTGGATCTCAGCAGAGCTTATCTGCCAAAAAAGGAGCTTCTTTTGATAGCGGAGGGATGCAGAGAGTTGCAGAGATTATGCGTGAAGAACTGCGTTGGGTTCGAAGAAGACGAAGAGGTGAAGAGAAAGGCTTGCAAGATTGAGACTTTCGAGTGCGAGGGATCGAAGATGATTCATGAAGGTGGATTTGGGATGGATGAGTGTGATGATTTGTATGTTGATGTAATTTGATACTGGATTTAGTTTAATTTTTGATGAAGGTCGGTTCAGGCATTTTGTCAAAACGGGAAGGATGCTTGTTTTAAAAGTTAATTTTATCATGAAGTTTATCATGTTGGATACGAAACTCATGTGATTGTAATGCTCATTCGAGATACATTTTAATCATCAAAACCTCTACAAAGGGAAAGATTGTCATGGACACTAAGAGAAATCAATTTGATTGTTGCTCTTTTCATGGTGAGAATTTTAAGATATTGTGAGGTATAAAAACCAACTCACTAAGAACAATAATCATATTATAAAAGAGGAGAACTGAAAGTTCGTTTCAGCAAGGAGAGAGTTGTTCTCGAGACCTCCATTAAGATGTGGAGAGGATGAGGATACAAGGGTATACATGTCATCCTGTTTTAATTTTTAAGAAATTGAAAAGAGTTTTTAATTACCAGCTACAGAGGCTAACTAAAGGAAAAGTTATGTAGAGAACTTAATAGCATGAGATAAATCAATTAGAAGTCGAGTTCTTAAATTCGATGATTCTATTATTTTATACATAGCAAAAGTATAAAGTGTATGTCTTCAAGATTTGGTGAAGATATTAGAGTCATTATTAGAGTCATTACTGGCTCAAGATGAATAAAAAAGGGGGGATCTCACATAAGAATTAATTTTATTATTTTGAAGTTTGTTTGTTTGATATGGGCTCACCATACCAAAGCTGATAGGTTTGAAATTCTTCTTAGATTACTATGAAAGAGAGAGAAGTTTCTCGAGTAATTCTCATGAGATTTTATTTTTAATGTGGTCTTGAATTCTTCTTTTATAGTTCATGGTTGTGGTCGATAACATGATGTTGTTGCATGTAAAATGCATAAATGACTATTATGTAGTGGGTGAGTTGCATGAAGCCAACTACACAATAACAACAACAACAACAACAACAACAACAACAAGCCTATATCCACCAAAGTGGGGCGGCTACGTGAATCCTTTTTCTCCATTGAGTCCTATTGAGTTGTCATATTTTCATTTTAATTCTATTAGATTAAGATCATTTTTTATACAATATGCCCAAGTTTTTCTAGGTCTACCTCTGTCTTTCTTAACATAAGTCAAATCTAAAACATCTACTCTCCTAACCGGATCAAATGGTCGGCGTTTAATTTGACCAAACTATCTAAGACGACTCTTTCTAATTTTTTCCTCTAATGGAGCTAAACAAACCCTATCACGGATATATTCATTTCACAATTTATCTCTAAGAGTAAAGCCACTCATCCATCTAAGCATTCTCATCCTAACAAAATTTAACTTAGTTTTGTGTTTCTCTTGTAAAGGCCAACATAACTATGGTTACATAAAATATAAATGCATTCCAAATTAAGGAAATGTAACAATACCAAGCTCTTCAAACAAAGCAGCTTTAAATAGTTGGCTAATAATATTCAAGATAAACAAATGATTTATTTGGAGTGCATAGCCTTCATGAGTCTCTTTGATAAGTTAAACTAGTTAATCCCCAATTAATGTCATGTTATATCAACTTCATGTTTTCATAATGATATGATTAATTACAACCATGACAAAGATGAGTTTGCAGTATCATAATTATGTCAAAAGACGTATGCTAGGTTTCTACTCTAGAGAGATTGTTTTTCCCTTCGTATTACACGCAATATATATAATGTATACTAAATTTACTGAAAGCATCATTACTGCATTAACAATTATCATAAAACTCCAATTGATTTTGAGCTTTAATGACCAAGATCTTGTTTAAATGAATATCAAGGAAAATCAAGTAATAAGTAGACTTGACTCGACTAATCTGATCAATAAACGTGGTAACAAACTCTCATGCAGCTAAATTTGAAACATCTTCCCTTGAACAAATTTGAAAATTTGACTGCAACGTCTAAAATCTCTAAGGGAAAAATATTAGTCTTTCGATGGTTTGAATTCAAATCCAAATTAGTGAAGCAATTACTTAGTCAAACTCAACTCGCATTAAGTTTAAATTGCATCAGTGAATCAATTTATATTTTCGATTTACAAATATTCAGAATGTGTATTACACTAATATCAAATCTTATATAGCATAAAAAACAATTATAAAGAAATCAATCGGACAAAGCTGAGGAGAAATGCTGACTAGAATCTTGAATGAATATTAAATTACAACTTCAATGATTAAATTGTCCCGATTGGATAACATTACACATCGAAGTTTGAATGATAACATTCTTCTCTGACCAGACAATGTAATATTTGTTCTTGACCGGCATCTATCAGTCTTCTTTGCTCTAATCTCAACCCCAGACAAATTTGACCGTTACATTGATAGAGATAAGCTAAATTTTCGAAGTTACAACAAACGAATTTTCCTTAATTGGGCTCAGAGGACTATAACAAGGATTATTTGTTCTTGACCGCCATCTCCCTCATCCTCCCCCTATCTTTCTCGAAACACAATCTCCATGGATCACCTCCCTACAACCACGAACTGGGAAAACATCCCCCTTGATTGCCTCTGCATCATCTTCTCCAAACTCAGCCTCGACGACCTCACGGCGTCTATCCCCTTCGTTTCCAAATCATGGTACCATGCTTCTACCCACCCAATCCTTTATCAAACTCTAGACTTCAATCTCATAGACCTCAACCCATCTTCTTCGTTCTCCAAGATCTTCTCTTCCCAATTCTCCCTTCCTCACTTCACCTCAACAGGCTTCCTCAAGCTAGCCATGGCGAGAAGCCAAGGAGCGGCCTTCGAGATCCGCTTCTCCTCCCTCTTCCCCCCTTCAATGGAGGTTCTATCTCTCGTTTCAATCACTTGCCCGAGGTTGAAAACCTTGTGCTTGCCGCACATCAATTTTGATGATGAAGTTCATTTTTTGAATATGATAAACAGGTGGAGGGATCTCGAATGGCTTGAAATGGAATCAAAGCCATCAAATTTGGGAGAACTTACGAAGCGGATTGGATTCCATTGTAACAGGTTTTATGGGCTTAAGATTCGCGGCTCGATTGAGATGAATGATGTATCTGGAATCGTGAACTTTCTTCCAAAGATTGGATTTTTGGATTTGAGCGGATCTAAGGTAGGGAAGGAGGAGGTGTTGGCTATTGTTGATGGTTGCAGGGAGCTGAAGGGATTGAATTTGAAGGGATGCGTTGGTTTTGAGGTTGATAGTGAATTGAAGAAGAGAGCTGAGGGTATTGAGGTTTTTGAGTTTGAGGGATGCAGCGTTGAAGATGAGTTCAGAAATTTCAGAATTCAGAATGAAGATTTGGAGTTCATGTTCGCGTATTATGATGATTGTTTTGAGTTGGGGATGTTTTGAGTTTATGAAGCGATTAAGGTGAAGCTTTACAGTGTTGATTATGGGATGAAGAACTAAGTTCTCATTGATATTTTGGGGGAATGTTTTGTACTTTTGTAAAGGAGTGAGCTTTAGATGTGGAGCATATATAATCTTGGTTATTGATATGTATTTAAGAAAATAGAAAGAATTAAGCAATGTAATTTTTTAAATGTGGTTTAAGAACAAATATGCAATGTAATTTTTATAAGATTTAACTCTAATTTCTAAGCATTTTATAACATAGAACTCCACTAAGTTAAATCAGAAATCATAACCTGTGAATAAGCTATTTCGATATATCTAGCAAATGCTTAATATTACATAATGCATGCCACCATTGTTAATTTTTAAAAAGTGAAATACATGTTTTCATATATAGGTTATAACACATTGGCGTTGTAAATATAAGCATCAAAATTTTAAGTGTTGGGTTGATATGTAAATATATAAGACTTGTGTGGTATGTATGTAAATTTTTCTAAATGTAAATATTAGATTTTAGATTTTAGGTAGTAACTACATAGGAAGTGTGCACATGCCAGAAAATTTTCCAAAAAAATGCATGTCCAAGCATTGTTATATAATACAAAATTATACTAAAAAAAATACTTATTAATACCCATCTTTTGTCGGTTAGGTGATTTGGTCGGTTTTGGCTTTGTTAGTTTGGCTCAAACAACTTCACTCGTTCGGACAATTAGGCCTCATAATCTTCTATCAATGAGTCATACACTTCACTTCTGGATTGTTGGATCTTAGCAGGATTAGCATTGGTGCATTTTCAAAGTGCATTTTTCAATTTACCGATTCTCTTACTTATTATAAATGAAGTCATAAAAATAAGAGAATTAAATACAAAAGTAAATTTCATTTATTGTTTAATTAATCCTCAATTATTGAAATCCCTTGATTTCCACACCTTTCTAATTTGCTTTTGTCTAAGAGAAAATTTCATTTATTGTTTAATTAATGCCTCAATAATTGAAATCCCTTTATTTTCATACCTTTGCAATTTGCTTTTTTATGTTTGTATTGAATGATCGTGTGATGAGCACCTAACTGTGATGATTGATTGGCCAATAATGTTAAGAATGTTTTGATAGGTCTGTTAAGTCATCACATGACTCAATTCTTATACTCCATCTCTCGGCTACTCATTTAGGTCGTTGCTTTGGACGTGTCACACTTTACACTGAATGTATTAAGTGGATCTTACTGCAGTATTCATGTGGGTAACCATCTACACTTGTTGTCGGGATAATTCGTACGTTAGCTACCACAAAACTTATCGCTAATGGGAGGGAATCTCGCCTCCATAGTTTTTCATTCTGAGTTATGAGCATGAGTTTTCATAATGCATGAGTGTTGTGGGTCGGGTCTTGTGTGTGATTTATCAAACAATCGTTTTTTCTTCATTGTTAGTTATTCAGGAAATTTTGCCAATTAGAGGACATTACCAGTCATTATAAGTTTTGTCACTCCGGTGGAACCGCTGCTGGTGGGTTGGCCCGAGTTCTCCTCTTTAACCATCGATCAGATTTTGTTGACCCCCTACATGAACTTCTCAAGTTCTTTGAGTGTCGGTTGGACCTTAGGATATTATGTATAATTAGAAAAATTTTACATAATTCTTTTTTGTATAAAATCAACAATAAACTACAAAGTTAGGAACATGTCCCATTTTTATGGCTTGGTCTCCAATCTTAGCCTTGGGTGATCCTTTTCTACGGGCGACGGGTGGAGAATTTTACTCTGGAGGAAATAAAATTGGAGTTATACGTTAATGCTGATATGTGGTTGTTGGCCGCTCCATAACTCAGCTAGCATCTTCGGTCATTGTAGGAACAACGAGTATCAGAAGGGTCCTTCCTTCATCTCTTGAGTGAGGGAAACATGGGTGACCGTGGGTTCCAGATCGCGCAGTTCTAACATCTTCTTTTGAAAGTGTGATAACCGAGCGAAGGCTCTCACTGTGTCCCAAACAGATTTACAAAAGGGTCTGTAAATTTTTTTTTTTCTGATATCTGTGCACTTTCAAATTGCGCTATAAATATTTGCTTGAAACCGACAAACGATACAATGCTCTCTGTGGTAAACCATTGAACCACCTGATGGCTGACTCCCTGAGCGTGGTAAAGAAGAAACGTCATTTAGTGTGTCAATGATCTCCAATAAGCACACGATCAACTCAAATAAGGCTATGTGGTAAATCAGATCCATAAGACCCTTTTAGGATTCCAATGCGGGGATCTTGAATTGCTTTGGCGTGTCAACCTCAGAGATTTGCTGCAAGAACGTCTTCTCATGCAGCATTGGTTTCTCAGTATGTCTGAACTGATATCAGTCAATCGGTGCCGATTCAACACTATCGAATTACAGAGTCACCTTATCTTTCCAAGTTGCACCCCAACCCTTCTTCTTAAGCTTGTTGATCCCTTCCCCAGTTCATTTTGTTTCAGAAAACATAACATTTAATCCTTCGACTCTTGGATCTATTGGGCTACAAATTCTCCAATACATTCTATATTTTTTGTGTCTCTATTGTGGGTTTCTTCTCATTAGGATGCGCATCTTTTTATTTGTGAAATAATCCACGCTCATCATGATTTTTTAATTGAATATGGTGTCACTTTCCGAAAAAAAAAAATTGCATTCACTGCAGAGAAACACATAATCAAAGTAAACTTAACTTTAAAAATAAATGAGTTAAATTGATTGTATTCACTTTATTCCATATGTATAAAAAACAAAAAATTTTTACATACATACCAAACAATTTCTATTTATTTAAACACCTATTACTTAATAATTAACATTTACACATGTACCATTTTAACTATGCTATAAAAAACGCTAAATTTTTCTGTCCGGAGTCCAGACGAGCGGACAACGGTCGCGATGCACCGGAGGATCGAACCTCCACACGTCCGGACTCCGTACAGAAAAATTTGGCATAAAAAACGTGTTTCACTTTTTAATGTTTAGCAAGAGCGATATAATTTTTATTGTGATAAAAAAAAAGATATTATAAGTGTAATAAACATATCAAAACCGCTGCTTTCTTTGTGAAGGACCTCATTGGGCAAGAGATTGCCCTCAAAAGAAGACCCTCAAAAGAAGGCCCGCAAGTCATAAAGAAGAAAGTGACAGGGAAAATGACGTGGAGGCACATGTGGGATCTCTTCAACAGCTGAATGCAATGCAAGCTCCAGCAAAACCCCAAGGGAGGGGGTTACTCTTTGTAGAGATGACAATAGGAGGGAAGACTACCAGGGCAATGGTAGATACGGGGGCTTCCCACAACTTCATCTCCA